TATATACTAAAGGTGCACAGGATGCTGTTACCTTCCCACCGAAAGGGTACCTATTAATCTACTTGCAAACAGCTAGAGCAGGGGTGTCAAACTCAAGGCCCGGGGGCCAGATCCAGCCCGCAGGGTACTTAGATCTGGCCCGTGGGGCCGACCTGGAAACAGTGAAGGACCGGCCCATGGTGCCTCTGCCAGCGAAAATGGAGCTTGCGAGGGCCGCATGCGACCCTCCCAAACTCTGTTTTCGCTGGTAGAGGGTTGCAGGAAGCCATTACAGCAGAAAACGGAGCTCAAGAGCCCATTTTCGCTGGCAGAGTGCTGGTAGCAACGCAGGCACCCCCGACACGAGTGACATTGAGCTGACCACACCCATCCAGGCCCCTCGAGGTGAAACACAACCCTGATGCGGCCCTCAATGAAATTGAGTTTGACACCGCTGTGCTAGAGGGAAGGAATGGGAGCTCACCCCAATGCATGGGCCTTGGGTCTCGAACCTGGCCTATCAACACTCCAGCTGACAAGCTCAGAGTCTTTAACCACTGAGCCATCACTCCCCTCTCAATGTTGCTACCATCATACTCTTTCATAGCTACCGAATTAGTAGCTAGAACACCTACAAACAACACTGTTTATTGAAGCCAAGGTTATAAACAGTTCTATCTAAAGAAAAAGACATTTTTAAATAGTTTTGAAAACAAACGGAGTCTGCTTGCAGAACAGTGAGACAGTAATTCAAACTACTATTAGAAATGTAACAATATTCTTGTCTTATTTGTTACTTGATTATCTTAAAAGTACAAGATCTTTGAAAACACTCAGCACTTTTCTGGGTTTAAAGAAAGATTCTGGTTTATATCATTATTCTAGTCATAAATATTCATCCCACTTATTTTTTTTTTAATCTATGTAAGTAATTCCAGATGTTTTTTTTTTTAATTCCCATTTTTTTTAAAGTTAAAATGTAATAAACTATAGAAAAGAAGTGACTCTTATCAGCTACAGTCATGTGGGGGGCGGGGGAAAGTACGTTATAGTTTAACATATCAGGACATAGTAAAAATCATCTGGTCCTTAGCAGTTCTTAAAAGTAAGCAAATACAACCTCAGATGAATAGCAACCACTGACATATTATGCCATGTCATCATTTATTTTACAATAAATTGCATCCTGGATCCTCTCTATATGTAGTATTCACTTAACAGTCATCTGTTTAGCTTCTATTCCATTCCATTCCACTCTATTCTAAAATGGTGTATAATTGTATTTATACTAAATTGGCTAAAATAGGTAAAGGATCCGCAAATAGTAATTGGAAATGCAACACTCAAATGGTAACCTTTTATCACTTTTGATGAACTTGGAAAAGGGCTAAAAACAATACTGGAGGGAAACTAATAATATAATTCAATTTTTAAAAAATAATAATAATAATGTACAATTTAGACTGGAAACTTTTTTTTTAGGATTAATGGATAAAACAGTGGGGGGGGGGGGGGAAATCACATGGTGTTTTATTGTTATATATGATAAAAGCAGCAGAACTTCAATATGCTATGTTTTGGGAAAATCCTATGATATCCATAATAGAAGAATGGTTAATAAAGATGACAGAACTGGAAATGGTAGCTAAGTTAGTGGCCCTCGTGAGAGAAAAATCACTGAAGAAATTCATCTGTAATTGGAAGCTTTTGGTAGGAGATGGGAGAAAAATCAAATGTTGACATATGTTTATTGTTGTTAAAATTTAAAAAGAGGAATTTTTTTTAATTTCTTTTGGGGGAAATGGAAATTTTATTATAATCTTTCAGTATTCTCTGTATCCTTGGAAGAATCTGGAAGTCATTCTTTGTATATATTTGTGTTTTTCTTTCCTTTTTAAAAATACTTTTTCACACTTCTACCCCTATTCTCTTTTGACTCAACCATTTGTTTCGATTGTTAATGTTTTTACTATACGCTTTGTAATATGTAATAAAATTGTCGAAATGAAGGAATTAAGAGAAGGCTGCTCATTGAGGCAAAGTAGTATTCATGTTTAAATTTCATGTCCATTGTAACAATCCTAAGTAATCAGGCGATTGCAACTAAGCATTCAGCAAGTAATTTCAAATTAATACCTGAACTTTAAACTTTAATTTGCTGGTCTTATGAATCCCTACCTATTCTCTGTCTTCTTTACTATTTTGGATTTCTTTAGTTCTTCTACCAGTGCCATCTTTTTTGTTATTGATCATACCCAACTTTGTAGATTTCACACAAGTTGAGCTACAAGTCACATCAACTGCAGCCAGGATATTCACTGACTAAAAATTATAGGCATTATATAGTGTGACACATCAGAAGGATATCTGGTGAGAAAAGACTGCTCCTCCTTCAAAGCCCTTTCCTTGGCTCTTGTTTCCTCGGCCTGCTGCTTCTTCAGAGCCATTTTTCCTTCCCTTTCTTTTTCTCGCCCGTTTTTCGACATCGGCTTTTCTCTTGATCTTAGACAGGAGCAACTTTCTACTTCACTTGCCTCTGTTACGATTTTAAGGCAATTCAGCTACTCCCTATCTGCATTTTCCTCTCTTGGGGGAAACAGAAGCTGCCAAATTCTGTATCACGATACTGGACAATCTTGTCATAGATCAGGGTTGTCAAACTTGATTTCATTGAGGGCTGCATCAGGGTTTGACCTCGGGGGAGTCGGGGGGGGGCTGGCAAAGGGGGGGCATGGCCAGCATGATGTCACTTGTGTTGGTGGCACAACTCCCGAGCTCCATTTTCAGCTGGGACAGACTCCTGCAACCCTCTGCCAACAAAAATGGAGCTCCCCACCCCAGTATGATGACTCAGAGTGTAACACAAAATCCAAAACATAAATAAATGTCCTTTATTGCCTCCAACTTGGCCCCACTGTTCAATAATACTCAGTTGGAGATAAAACGTATTCAAAAATAGTCTTCAAAAGAAAGCAATACAGTCCGAACTTAATGATAGCAGATAGAGGTGAAATAAAAAACCAAACAAACTACAATGACGAAATGTCCACAAAGGAACAGGAGAAGTATTTACCAAATTCAAGGAGATAATAAGGCACAGTCTGTTGGAAGGACACCAACCAAGATAACCTCAGACCAAAATAAAACACGCTTGCTTATGGCAACCTGTGTTTTAACCGTCTCTCTTATATACTCGTTTCCCCAGCTGCAACCAATGAGGAGGATCATGGCCGCTTCCTCTCTCGTAAACCAAGTTGTTTCCTTCTCCGTTCCTCCCTGCATGCCCTAGGATGCAGAGGGGATGGTCCTGGGTCTTCCTCTGACTGCCCAGCCGGCCTCTGCCCTTCCCCAGCCTCCTCCATAACGTCCGGAGCCACACCTCCACTCCCTGTCGGCTGTTCCTCCTCTCCCTCAGAGTCCAACTCTACCAAGGGTAGGGTCCTTCGCTATTTCCAGGGCACCCCGGGGGTGGTCCTTTGCTATTTCCAAGGCAGCCCCATGGGCCAGATATAAGCACCCTAAAGGCGCGGGATCCGGCCTCCGTGCCTTGAGTTTGACACCCCTGTCATAGGTGCAAAGGCACCGCCAATCAAAACCAGCCTTATGTTTGATATGACTTCTTGAGGACACAGCATTTGAGAATCTAGCATTAAAATAAAGATTGTCCCAGGAAGCAGACCAAATTATTCACCATCATTACAGAGCCTTAGTGGCGCAGTGGTTAGAATGCAGTGTTGCAGGCTAATTCTCTTGACTGCCAACAGTTCGATCCTGACTGGCTCAAGGTTGACTCAGCCTTCTATCCTTCCAAGGTGGGTAAAACGAGGACCCAGATTGTTGGGGGCAAAAGGTTGACTCTGTAAATTGCTTAGAAAGGGCTGTAAACCACTGAAGCAGTATATAAGTCTAAGTGCTATTGCTAAGTGCTATCATTCAAACTCTGATACAGTTATTAGAAAGGCACTGGAGATGAGATCAATTATTCCAGCCGGTCTGCACAGACACTGTTCTCACAGATTCATCTCATCGGATACGCTTGCATTTGGCTGAGGTTGCTCTTCTTGCAACCTTTCTCTTTGAATAAAGAAAAGCAAAAAGCATCAGAGTGAGCCTGATTTCAGAACTCAATGCATCTCTGAACTACTGTTATGCATCAGACAACTGAAGCGTTTAGTTAAACACTGTTTACTGTTTACTGTTTATGCTAGCCTGCAACTGCTACTCCAGATTCCAGCTGTAGGATTCTTCCAAGCCTATTTAGAACAGAACTATGGAACCTTGTATGCTGGAGTGGTAAATTGCTTACGTTCTACACAAATAAGTAAAGAGTTAAACTCCTCCTTATGGGGAGGTAAGGCCGAAGGTTAGCAGAACAAGGGAGAAATATGAACAGCTATCATGAATTACGCCTACTTTGGGATTGTTTGTAGCATTTTAACAACTATTTCACACAGCACAGACAGCAATGTTCAAGGAGTGGTACGAAGGTCTAGAGGTCTAGGCCTCTTGCCTCACAATCAGGAGGCTATGAGTTCGATCCTAGGTAGAAGCAGATATTTCTCTCCCTGGGCACACTGAGAATATATCTGCTGAACAAAACTCCCCACTGGTGATAGGAAGGGCATCCGGCCATTAAAATACTCTGCTAGTTCCATTCAGTTGCCCAGACACCACCCTGCAAGGGATTATGTGGTCGTTAGATGAAGATTATGATAGACAGCAATGTTCAAATTATTATGTGATCTATCCCATACTTGATCCACGAGAAACAAGAAATCTTTAGCAAACCAATGTATAAAGTAGTCAGAACCACAATGCAGAGGCATGCATGCAAGTTTTCAATTAGCAAGGGGATCTGCATATAAAACTTATTTCTACAATAATATATAAATGCATATAAAACTTATTTCTGCAATAAAAGAATTGTGAATCAAGGTTAAGTTCTGATTACTATCTGCTCAAAAACCATCCCATCTCCTCCATTCCCGACCCCACTCCACATTTCCAACAGATGTACTTACGTTGGTTGTGCCAAGCAGCCGGGGGCTATAATATTGCAACTTGTCTCATTAGCGTGCAGGCTTGTGAGCTCCATCATATTGACCATCACATCACATGTATGACCTGGTAACTTGGGAAGTATGGATAGAATCTTCTCTGCTAAGGTGTCACCGTGATGCCCAACGGCTCCTGAAAAAAAAAAAAAAAAACCACCCCGATGAAAAGTAGTCAGGTAACCAGTTCCTCTACAGGTATATATGGCTGTTTCCAACATTGGCCAAAGGCAATCCTAGCAGCAGTCAATATGTGTAATAATAAGTATTTTGTGCTTTTTACGTATTTTTTTTAATACAAAAAGTTATGAATTGTGCTGAAATGGATAAACTAACGCTGAGTTTAAAAGATAAGGAAGCTTCAATATTTTATAAGGTATGGGAACAATGGTATAGCTGCATAGATCGGAGACAGATTAAGGATAGGTAATGGTTAAATATAGAATATAGATAGAATAAGAATATAATTGTGCACAAATTAATATCTGTAAATATTGCACAAATGATGGTTATATGATAAGCACAACAAATAGCTGTTGAGTGATTTTTTTTTTATGTTTTTAATGTAATAAAAATTCAATAAAGTTTAAAAAGAAAAAAGAAAAGTAGTCAGTATCTCTCTAGTGTAGTGAAATATTTCCTAATAATAATCTGATCTCAACTGATTGCAAAGGAAATTCTTTTTTTTAAAATAGCTTTTTAAAAACAATTGCAGTGTAACAGAAAATAAAAATAAATAAATAAAACAATAAATCTCAAAGGAAGGAATAAAAGAATTTTGAAAGCCTGGCACAACTTCTCTTTGTTCCACCTTACGTCCCAAGAAAATGGGATTATTTTAATTTTTTTTTAAGCTTTCTACTTTTTCGGGCCTGAATTACTGTTTCTTCATCTTCACCCACCCCAAGGCCAGATTTACTTTCACAGTATCAGAGATTGGAGCTGCACGGCCTGAACAGACCATAGAAATGGGATCTTCTTCTGCCTGTTTCATTTATTGATGAAGGTAATGGATTTTATGAATTAGATAATGGATATTCATATTTAATAGTTAACAGTTTTGTGGGGAGGGTTTTTTTTTTTTTGTACTTGATATTAACTGCATATGCCATCTAGAGTCTAGCTAGCAGGAATTGAATAAATGTTTAGATCCAAATATAAGTTGATGTAGGCCCACGGTTGTCTTGATAGTCATGAAATCCCAACCTGCCCCGAACAAAATTAAAATCTTTGCAATCTCGGCAAATATCTGTAGCTTGGGGGTTGGAAGAAGGTGAAGGTTTGTTCTCTGAGCTTGTGGGTTGGTTTCCAAACGTTTCATTACCAAGCCAGGTAACATCATCAGCAGAGTTTGGGAGATGTCAGTGTTCTTCTGTTTATAAGGCCTTCAGGTGTGGGTGTGTTAAATAAAGATCTTGTGATGGGTCAGCTGTCAGCAGTGGTGGTATTCATTTTTTTTTTTAATACTGATTATGTGGGAGTGGCTCGGTGGGCGTAGTGTGGCTTGGTGGGTGTGGCATGGCTTGGTGGGTGTGGTTTGGTGGGTGTGGCAGGGGAAGGTTTCTGCAAAATCCCCATTCCCTCCCCACCCCACTAACCTGCTTTCCAGCTCCATTCTCCTGTGCAGGGCAACCAAAGAAAACCCAGCCAATCAGCTGGGACTCGGGAGACGGAGAATAGATGGGGCAGTCAAGAGGTAGTATTTGCCAGTTCTCCAAACAACTCAAAATTTCCGCTACCGGTTCTCCAGAACTGGTCAGAACCTGCTGAATACCCACCTCTGGCTGTGAGAGTCTTGTGACGAGTCCTGTGATAGAAAGGCTATATCCAGTCAGGGTCATTGGGAGATGAACTGCTGTTGTTGGGGGGTTCCGTGGGTTGGTTGAAGGTTGGTGCAGTCTCTGGTTGGCTGTGCGGTTAATTCGGTTTCTGAGGGGTTCGTAGGCTGGTTGTAGGTCAAAGTGTCTTGTCTGTTGATGGAATTGCTTGTGGAGTGCCGGGCTTCGATGAAGTCACGAGCGTTCACCTCCCAATGACCCTGACTGGATGTCACCTCTCTATCACAGAACCCATCACAAGACTCTCAACTGATGACTCACACCTGCCCCATCACAAGACCCTCACTTGACACACCCACACCTGAAGCCCTTATAAACAGAAGAACACCAACACTGACATCCAGGGATGGTGAACCTTTTTGTTGTGGTGTGCCAAAAACGTGCGTGCGTGTGTGTGTGTGTGTGTGTGTGTGTGTGTGTGTGCTGGCACCCACAATGCAATGTGCCCTGTCCCCCTTGCGCATGCGCGCACAACATCCCCGCCCCCTTACCCGCACTGTGCATGCGCGCACCTCCCAGCTGATTTTTGGACCATTTGAGGTTGTTTTCGCCCTCCCGGAGGCTCGAGAGAAGCCTCTGCAGCCTCGGGAGGGCGAAAAACGGGCCTTCTGGAAATACTGGAAGTGCCCGTTTTCAGTCTCTGGAGCCTGAGGGAGGCCATTTTTGCCCTCCCAGAGGCTTAAGGGAAGCCTCTGCAGCCTCAGGACACCGAAAAACGGGCCCGTTTCGGCACTTCCAGTATTTCTAGAAGGCCCGTTTTTCGGCTTTCCAAGGCCACAGAGGCTTCTCTTGAGCCTCTGGGAGGGTGAAAACAGCCTCAAATGGGCCAAAAATCAGCTGGGAGGCGCACGCATGCGCAATGGAGGTAAGTTTGGCTGGGGCTCATGTGCCTACACAAATGGCTCTGTGTGGCACCTGTGGCGTGCGTGCCATTGGTTTGCCATCACGGCCCTAAACTCAGCTGAAGATGTTAGCTAACCTGGTAATGAAACGTTCAGAAACCAATCTACAAGCTCGCAGAACAAGCCTTCACCCTCATTAAAATCTTTATCAAGTTTTCAGCAGCAGCAGCAGTCGGTGAATTATGTCAATAAGCATATGTTTTCCTTGGTATGGTCCTGAAGAGATTAAATATTTTCAACATTCTTCTCCTCTTTTAACCTTCATGAGTAGCATACCTAAGGGAACATCTGTTCTCAGGTTTTTAAGTGCTGCCAAAGAACCACCGCTGGAAGCAATTAGTTCATGCCATAAGAATGGGAAAGAAAAAAGAAGCACAAAAGACAAACGCAAATGCAAAATCATACAAAAGAAGGAAGCAAAAGATGATGATCAGCTGCCAAAGACGATTTATTGAATTGGGATTCTCAAACCACTTGAAAAACAACAATGACTAAAACTTACTTCCTCAGTAAAGCATGAAATGCAACAAAAGCAAGATCATCTCTTTCTAATGTCACTGTTTCCAGAATAAATGCATTTTCTGAGAAGGAGAATCAAAATTTATGAAGGAAACTACATTTGATACAGTGGCTTGACAATGCTTATTAAAATTACTGGCAATAATACCCTTTTTAAAGATGCAACTATGCTACCTGTTGGGAGAAATATCCATCTGGTTCAGTTCCAAGTGAGGAGAAATACACTGGAAACATGGAGGCTGTTTGAAAAGATGGTTTATTGATGGACAGGACCACAAGGATTTTAGGTCCTGGGCAGCTGAACACATGGGGGAGAGAGAGAGAAGTATTTATACCCTCTCTTGGGCCTTGCCCTTGAGCTTCCTGTTCCTGTGCAAGAAATGTATTCTATTGGTTGTCAGACATCCAGGGGGCTATGCAGCAGTCATAGCTGAGGTTGTCTGAGGTATGTTTGGTTGAACCTTGCTGGGTAATGCAACCAAGGGGCTTGGTTGTCAGCTCTGCTGATAATCCTATTATGTTCTGGAGGGTCATCCCATCACCATGGAGCTGAAGATCTAATTGTCTTGTAGATAGGCTGGCCAAGTCCTGCTCAATAAGCACCAAATATTTGCTAGAGGCAGGGGGCTGTTATTTGTCTTTAAAAACCTGTTTCTCCTTTTCTCATCCAGGGAAATATAATATTCTGCCTTTTTAATATTTCCTAGAAGATTTTGTTCTTCTAGGAGAGGGGTGGGTGCTAACTTTCTACATGCCAAACTCCTAATCTAGACAAAAACAATGTTTTACCAAGGGAACAAGCTGGATTTAGGAAAGATCAAGCAAATAGTTTGATATCACTTGATAGAGAAATATACCCAAGGCTTTAAAATTCCATTTCATGTACATTCCAGAGAAAATCTATGAAAGAAAGAAATTGGCAGCAATTATCACTGACAAGAGATCTTTACTATAGATGTATACATTTTATAGTAATCCTGGTATGAAAGTCAGATGTGATTCCTGTGGCCAGCTAAATGATCCAATTGCAGGAAGGATAATTCCTCGCACTATTTTGATTTAATGTCTATAAAATTACAGTGATATGGCATGTTAATTGTTAAAAAGAGTTTCATTTCCCTAAGCTCTCTAAGAGACATATTTTGGCATTTCTGCACAATGATCTGGTCATTTTATCATGCTCAATTATTGGTTTGAGAAGAGGATTAAAAACCATGACTAATACTGCAAAAATTGCTAATGCAGTAAATTATCAAAACTTAAAAGTTCTGACAGAAATATCTGCTAATGCATCACCAGAGGATTTAAATAGTATTTACAGATGTGAGGGTAACTTTGATCCATCAACAATTATATTTAGAATGCATTGGACTTTCAAAAATATGTATTTGAAAAGATGGACATCTGATTTCCTTTGCTGAAAGTGTAAGAAGTTTACTCATTGTGATGACTCTGGGCGTGGCACAAAGGCAATACAGTCAGATAATCAATAAGAGTCCCTTTAATAGCTGCAACTTTGCCCCCAATGTCCAGGTTACCTGGCTGGAGAAAAACTCTCCCAGGAACAGCCTTTGACTGCAGAAAATTAAGTCCAAAACATGGTCAACACAAACTGTAACTTAAAGTCCAATCAAGCCAAACTGAGGTAATTAGTTTGGCAGGGCAGGACCAAGAATTCCAGACGTGAAGGCACGGCAAAACTCACACGGTTGGGAAGATGCCAGGAACACAGATAAGCAACAACAACATAGGATAAAGTCACGTTTGCTCCCAGCAGCTGCCGCCCTCAGCATTCAGTTCTTATCAACTTTCTTCCCAGATGTGGCTAATGAAGAGAATCAGGGCCCTTTCCTCCCCCGTAAGCCACGCAACCCATGTTGCTGTCTTCTCCGTTCCTCCCTGCGTGCCCTAGGATGAAGAGGAGGTGGGACTAGGTCTTTCTCTGAACTCCCTCTCCCTTGTTCCACCTCTCCCCTGTTCTGCCCAGCTGGACTTTGCCCGTCCCCAGCCTCTCCACAGCCAACACATTCCCTGTCAGCTGTCTGGCTTCCTCCTTGAATTCAGACACTGACAGGAGCATGACAGTCATGTGGTTTTAAAGAGTAGCATGCAGTATTACAGTGTGGAACTATAGGAAAACATTTAAATTAAATTAAAGATGTTAATGCGATGTTGAATTATATCTCAAAGTTTTGGAATCTAGCCTTTTATGAGGAATTAAGTTTGTATCAGACATGGTGGATGGCTTTAACAATCATATTGAGAAAGTGATATTATAGTGCAGGGGTGTCAAATTCGATTTCATTGAGGGCTGCATCAGGGTTGTGTTTAACCTTGGGGGGGCTGGGGGGGTGTAGTCGGGGTGCATGGCCCGGCTGACATCATTTGTGTTGGGGGCACCTGTGGTGGCCCAAGCACTCTGCCAGCGAAAACGGGCTCCATTTTCGGCTGCATTGGCCTCTGTGATGACCCAGGGTGGGATACAAAACAAACACAGTCACAGAAAACCAGTGACGCTCCTTTTATTCCTTCACTTTGCTTCCAAGCTCTGAATATTCTTGACGGGAGACAAAATAACTCCCACACAAACAGTTACAAGAAGGGAAAAAGCAACACAAACCAGGCAAGATAAGGGTTGGAGGATGTCCACAGATAACACACACTGGGAAGGACACCAAGCTCAGAGAGGAATCATTAACTAGAGATATTTCCACGCTTTGTTTCCAGCATTCGCCTGTACGCATGTCCGTCCTCTTATTCAGATGTCACAGCTGCAGCCTATGAAGAGGATCAAGGCCCTCTCCTCCCCAGTAGACTACGTCTCTCCCTTATCCTCTCCTCCCTGCGTGCCCTAGGATGGAGAGGGGGGCCTGGGTCCTCCTCTGACTGCTCAGCCAGACTCTGCCCTTCCCCAGCCTCCTCCACAACCTCCAGAGCCACACTTCCACTCCCTGTCGGCTGTTTCTCCTCTGCCTCAGAGTCCGTCTCCACCAGGGGCGTGACAGCCTCCTGCAACCCTCTGCCAGTGAAAACGGAGGTCAGGAGGGCTCCCCGCAGTCCATTTGAGCTCTGTTTTCAGTGGCGGAGGTACTGTGGGCTGGTCCTTTGCTGTTTCCAGGGCAGCCCTGTGGGCCAGATCTAAGCACCCAAGGGAACCAAATCAAAGTTACCACTGAACTTTGCACTGAAAAAAAGTGACTTGGGAACATTTTTCATACTTATGACCGTTGCAGCATTCCCATAGTCACGATCAAAATGAAGCGGCTTGACAGCCAATTCACATTTTCGACAGTTGCCGTGTCTTATCCCCTTTTCCGACCATCTAACAAGCAAAATCAACGGGGAAACCAGATTCCTTTGACGAACACGTTGCGAATTTAATAATTACAATGATTCCCTTAACAAATGTGGAAAGCAAAGTTGTAAAAGAGGGCAAAACTCATTTAACAAATGTCTCACTTAACAACATAAATTTTGGGCTCAATTGTAGTCGTAAATTGAGGACAACCTCTAATCCTTCCTCCTATTTTCCCTGTAACAACCCTGTGAGGTGGGTTGGGCTGAGAGTGACTGGCTCAAAGGGACGCAGACAGCTTTCTTGCTTAAAGACGCATTCATAGTTTTCTAGTTTCTAATCTGGTGCCTTCAACACTAGACCTGGATGTTTCTGATTGGTGGGATACAGAAAACTAGAAACGTTCTGAAACAAGAGATTCTGGATATAAAGCAAAGGTCTTCAAACTTGGCAAGTTTAAGACTTATGGACTTCAACTCCTAGAA